ATCACATTTTGTGGACTATTTTATGTGTGCCATGGCCTCCCAGATATCATCAGAATTGGTAAGCAATCGATTGATTAATTTGTTGCTTGATACATATATATGTATGTATACATAGAGTATTGATTAGGAAATTGTAATCAAACGGATTCTGGAGTTGTTTTTTGTGGTAAACAAGCGATCCGTTTATCTAAACGTTTCACTCGTTTATCACTCGATATTATATTGAATTGAATTTTTTGGTGCATTTTATACATCAGTCTAACGCTCGTTGCGGTCAATAATAATTAGATGTGTTTTTTGTTTAAAGCATTTTTTTGCCGTAAATATTATTTCAATAATTTGTTTCTAGGTTATCATCAGATGTTTGCATAGAAATTCGTTTTAAATGATAAATAATGTATTTATTTATTATTGCTTTTTAAAAATGGTATTTTTCCATAAAATGGTAATATAGCAAAATATGATATAATATTTTTTTGTTGACTGAAATAAAAATATATTCAATTAATATGTGATATGATTATACATATGATAAGAATGTGTGATACGAATGATATATAAAAATATAATACAATTTACTCTGAGTTCAGGTTTAAGTGGTAAGGAAATGCCGTTTCAATCAAACGAGTCGTCCCTTTGATGAGAAAATATTTGTATTTTTATGTTTCGCTTATCAGTGGAAAAAAAATTTCATTTATAGAAAATAAAGAAAGAGTTTTCTAACACTTCTTACTCTAACTGTGAATTTCTTATCACAACATTGAATGTAAAATGATTTTAATTTTTTATATATCCACATGATACTTATAGATTTTACCAAAAATATATATATCTATTAATCATTAAGCGATTAAATTATGAAGTGTGAGAATATTTTCATAAATAGTATACAATTCTGTGGCAATATTTATGAGAAAATATAGAAATATAGAGTACTTTATATATTAATAAAGCAAAATAGTAGAGAGAGAGAGAGAGAGAGAGAGAGAGAGAGAGAGAGAGAGCTTTTAGTGTCTTAAATAAGATTATTATACATCTATTGATAACGAAAAGAGATTGAATCACATATTTCTATAGTCAAAGAAATGCCATTTATTGCCCACAAAAATCGTCAATACGCTGAGTATTTGGTTGTAAAACATAGACAGAAATCATTGTATTTCTCGAAAAAATAATTTTCAATTCATAGTCAAAAATTTTCGGAGCATTTCCTGAATGCCAAACACAAAACAGAGAAGTCTTTTGTCATCCATGAGCTCAAAGAGCAATAAGAAAAGGGAACGTTAGCTTAGAGTTACAGTAGTTTTATGATACTATGAGTTATCTGTAAGGCCAGTGAACATGTCATCCCTCATGTCTAATGATATCAATTTCCAGTGAAAATTCATACAATACTGAGAGTCAGTCATTGAGAAATATTATTAATATTTTATTATTAAATCATAGAAATAGTGAAAACAAAATTCAATGACATTTACCGTTTAATGGCAAATATTATAGTTTAAAAACCATTTGCCGATTATATGTTTGCTTTTTTGTTCACTTGATAAATATTTGATGCCTTTTTTCTACTAGTTATTGATTTTTTGCAACAACTTTTTGTGTGTATATAATTTACGAGAGAAACACACATTTCACGTATACTTATGTATTCATCGCGTCTTTTAATTACACAAATTTAGGGGAAAATCAATAATTAGTTAATTATAGCCTAATAGACAGAAACTCTGTATTCATTGGCCTTTAATGAGGTGTAATTGATGCCAAAAAAGTGCCACTTATTTGTCATTTATATGCACAACAGGGACCTGTTTTTTACATAATTATTTCCAAATTACACATTAAATGTTATGAATTTTATGAAATAATTAGATAAACTTTATTTTAAATACCAAGTTTTTGAGATTTATTTAAGTAGCGTAAACAATAAAATATTTAAGCATAAGTATAATTATACGTAACATAATTTTATATAGAAAAATAAAAACAATATAAGTTAATATAATTATATATTAATTAGCTAGTATAGCGTGTTTATAAATAATTCAGTTTATGGTAGGTATAGATACAAAGCGAGTATTTGCTGATAATGTTGTATTGTTTTCAGTTTAATTAAATCAAATATTAATGTATTTAATAAACCAGAAGTGATTGCCATTTCAAACATTAGTTTTATTTTGTTTGTTAACAGAAATACAATAAAATCATTTCCTGATATAAAATAATAATCACCAAAAATCTAGTGAACACCAAATGTTTAGTGCTTTTGAATGGCTTTATGTAATGAATCCTATTGTAAATATTTTATTTGCAAAAATCATATAAAAGCATACAATTCACTGATTTGATATGTGATCCCAATTAATGACTACTATATTAAAGGCATAATAAATTTGATTCTAATCAATAGATTACAAAAATGACCCCAAAAAACATCCATAAGTTATTGTAAAAACATTATAAATTTTTAATCATACAATTTACATAACAAATTGTTTGATGAGATAAAAAAGGATTCCCTAAAGAATTAAATTCTTTCATATATTAAACATAAACAAAAATATGAATTCTTTACCTAATTATACGAATAATTAATGCTTTTTACAATTTTTATTACATTTTTATAGCATATAATTACTATACCATTAAAAATCAAAGTCATGTGCATGTATATAATTGTGACAATTAACTGAGTAAATTGATGTCAAATTGGTGTCTCATAGCAAAATCTAAACACTTATCGTATTTAGTATATAAACAAAAACTTAATTACATTCATGTGTTTTGTTTAAAAGGGGGTCTCTTTGAACACGGAGACGATGCGGTGGAACTGGCGTTTAGGTATGCGGTCGACAGGATTAACGCCGACAATAAGGTACTGCCGCACACCCGGCTCATAGCCCAAGTGGAAAGGCTGGAGAAATGTGACAGCTTTCAGGCATCCAAACGAGGTATCAAATTATCCAATTAAGACAAATTTAGACATTCACTCCAAATAAGGCTAATCCCCAGTGATAATAGCCCTTGAAAAACAATGTGTATATAATAATGATAATGTCGTTTACATTAAAAACAACATCATCATAATTATTTGATTAAAAACACTATTAAAGGGACAGAGAATATATACATATAAACAGGAAATGGGGTTTAAATGCCTTTTAAACCATGTTTTTGTTTCTTTCTCACCCGTCTCTCTCTCTCTCTCTCTCTCTCTCTCTCTCTCTCTCGCATCCCTATCCCTTAGTGTGCAGTTTATTGCAAGAGGGAGTGGCGGCTGTGTTTGGGCCCCAGTCTGTGGAGACCAGCGCTCACGTCCAGTCCACTTGCGATGTCCTACATATGCCACACATGGAGACCAGATGGGACTTCAAGTTTGATCCGCCATCCAATCACTCCATCAATCTGTTCCCGCATCCGATCGCTTTGGGAAACGCGTTCAGAGATCTCATAAAACTCAAGAATTGGAAAAGTTTTGCTATACTTTACGAGGAAAACGAAGGCAAGCC